TTCTGACCGTTACGTAGATGCCGATTGTACATATATGTGATATATCGGGAAATATACACAATGTAAATATACAATGGAAGGGGATGTTAGCTAGAATGTATATATATCAAGAATGGCTTTACCAATTTTGACAAATCTTGTCAATTCAGAATGCCCTCTTGGCATAAAAGAATAAAATCTAAAAAAATTGCAAAAAAAAAACATGTCAATAATGATGTTAATATAGATTTTTTGGTATTTTGTGACATATTTATTTTTTCTTTTTTTTATCGCATGCGATTTTTTCAATTTGACTTGAAATATTGAAGTGTAAATTTTGTAATATTTTTTCACATTACAACACAGGTTGAGGTTATTATATACAGATTGCAATTATCGTCCGATCTTCACGAAAATTTTCACAAGGGTAGGGTTAGGCTCAGAAGAGCTATTGTTTTCAAAGGTGAACGCAATATATTTAGGGGTTAAAATGGACCAACCACTAAAAATGTTCCTGATTTTGCAGCCGTTATAAGGTCGCAAATAGAAACAAAAGGACATGAAATCTCGCATGTAGTTAGATCGATTTGGATATAAGGGGGCTTCTAACATATTGTAGTGTTGTAGGGTATCACACGGTCGGCCCCGCACGACTATTGCCTTTGCTTACTTGTTTATTTTTTGTTTTGTTTTAACAATCTTTAATAGAAATACGATTGTAAATGTTTTAAAGTACTGAAAACTTCGAATATTTTTCGTTGAGCGTTAATGTAACCAATACCAAATAATAATGAATACCTTTGGAAAATGTTATTAGATATTTCAAAATCGAACTATTACCATTATATGGCGGCATTACTAAAACGTCTACGGAGTTCTGAATTTTTTATATAGAATTGATGACCTCACTGTAAACCCTAATTCCAAATTATAGACAATTCCATTAGAAATTGTTCTCAAAACCTTCAAAATACCTATAATCGATCCTTTCAAAGTTTACAATTTCGTTGAGATATAAACTCAATGTTCCCTCTATTCACTTTGTACTATTTGTTTAATGCTTGTAACTAATTAAAACACATATTTTTTAAACAAAAAATCTTAAAAAAAAATTATCTGTTTAAAACCGCAAAAATCATACCAACATGGACATACAGAAATGAGTCACTTTAAAATGAAATCATCATATATGTAACCACAACTAATGTTAAATATATTTTGTAGAATAATTTGGTGATTTCAAGTCACCAGAATTCAATAAAGTACTTAAATAAAATTAAAAAAGGTTTACAATTATAATTACGTGTATTATACATGTTTACATCCCCTATGCCACGGCAAATTCTTACAATCCTATCGAACCCACTGTAACTGTGGTTATTAGTTGCGAACGTTTGCATGAATCAAAGTCTGAGATAAAAAAGGTTGGTCTGCTGATATCTCTGCATGTTCAGAAACACACGTACTGCAATATATCTACATTTGTCTGCCTGTCTGTATGTATGTACATTCATATCTATACATACATACATAGTAGTCGGGGATAAATGTATCAAAATCATATTGCAATATATTTTCCGCCCTTAAATTTATTTTAAATCAATGACATTCTTGGTGTGTCGTGTGTATGTGCATGCGAAAATAACTACCTACAACAACCTGCTAATATTATTTCGGAGGGTAGAAATTATGCTCCAATCTTTAATGAGAATTTCCACTCTCTATTATGAGGGTTAATGCTCTCATCGACATCATCTGATTGGACCCGGTATTTCTCAGTTGTAGGAAGGTATCAAAAATAAAACAAAACAAATTGATGAGCGAGTGTGTGTGTGTGCGTGTGTTTGTAGGTGCGTACTGTTGGGGATTAGTTTTGTTGTTGTTCTACTCAACTCAAAATGTTAAAATGTCAATGTAATAACTTGGTTGGTTGAGTCAGGGCGAGCGAGAGAGCTGTTGTCTGGGTCTGGTGTGTCGGATACTAACAGTGATGTCAACTACGAGTTAAAAAACACATATAAATTTCAGTATTTCGGTTTGTTTTCAAAAACAAAACCAAAAACAAAAAAAAAAAAAACAAAAAACAAATGCAATGTATTCTTTATCATTTATAACATTTGTCATTATAACATTTAATGTAAATATTTAAAAATTGACCCAATATTTAATGTTACCATATTTATTTGTTATAGAAACACCTACAATTATGTATTAAAAGCTACCTTTACATTCAAGTCTTTATAGTCAGTGCGAATAAATTCATATTTACGACGATTTAAACCGAATGATATCAGCAGACCTGGAATATTGTACTCGTGCAATGAGACGCACGTTGGGCGTCAATTAATAACAACGATTAAGATCGCGTTTTTGTTATTAAATAAGCAAATTTAATTCTTATTTTATGCTTTTCTATCTGATTCCAGCCTATTTAAATCATATTCACTTGAGAAATTTTTTACATTTTCCTGCTGGTTCATTACATAAATGAAATGTCCGCACACAAGTAATCGATATAAGAATGGATTCTCCATATTTTGTTGGTTGCACATAGAATGAATGTAATGTCAGCACAAGAGTAAGCCAAAATTATTACTTTTTCAAAAATGACTTATATTTTGTATCCGATCGTAAATACCAAAATATTATTGGCAGACATGAAATTGTCAGACTTTAACCATTAAGTAAATAATAAAATTGAAATTGGGCGGAGAATCGTATCTAAATCAGAATCGATTATTACTAATAGAATATAATAAATCTTCCTTTGACATTTTTCGCACAATCGCAATCGTGAAATCGATATCTTGCTTAGAATTGAAGAAATGAATGTGGAGGGTTTGTGGTTTCAACAAAAGGCTCCACATTTCATACAGCCAGAGAAAGAAATCAATTGCTGCATTATTTTCCGGTCGTGTTATGGAGAGCCAGAATTGGCTTTGGAGACCATTGACCATTAGCTCGAAAAAAGCCCGATTAAAAATTAAGATTTTTTTTGCCTTTTTTTATTTAAGCAAAAAAAAAAAATAAAAAACAATAGTTTTAAAAGCCAAAATATGGCTCGTCGAAATAACGGTTTTAGACCTTAGATCCCTTTGGACCGAATCCGTTTCAGGACATTTGGAGATCTAGAAGTGTCCGACCGGCTGGCTGGCCCACGATAACTTTCGAAGGTAGCATTATTTAAAGCAAACTTGGTATGTCATGATATTATTGTTAAACTTAGATCGAGTACTTCTTGTACCTCAAAGGTCAAAATATTCACAGAAAATAATTTTCCATCTGTCCGTTTGCGAGAATCAAATCCGAACGAGTTGAAGTAGATTCATAAAATTTTACTTAAATGTATATGATGTCTGCAGGACTTTTGGTATTGAAAATGGGCCTTGTAGGTCCACGTTTCGGTATAGCCCCCATATAACCTAAGTTCGGTATTTTGATGATTTTAGCGACAATATTAATCGGAATTCTTTCAAATTTGGTATTTGATGTTCGTAATGGATGCTACAGCCTATGGCAGGAGATTCTCTATGCAGGTTCACGTCTTCGTATAGCCCCCATATAACGGTACCTCTCGATATTCGGTATGTTGATGATTTTTGCGACATTATTGACCGGAATTGTTTCAAATTTGATATTTGAAGTTCGAAATGGATACTACAGCCCAAGACAGAAAATCGTCTGTGCAGGTCCACGTCTTCGTAGCCCCCACATAACGGTACCCCCCGATATTCGGTATTTTGATGATTTTATCTACATTATTCACCGATTTTTTTTTAAGTTTTGCATTTGAATATTGTAATGGCTTATGACAAAAGTTACCTATGCAGGTCTGAATTTTTATCGGATATTATTGTTTTGGAGAATTGCTAAATTCGTTCCAAATGTTGGAGGGTATTCAAAGTTCGGCCCGGCCGAACTTACAGCTTTTTTACTTGTTATTATCGAAAAAAATCAATTTTGTAGCACAATTTTTTATCTGCAGTCTTGCGAATAAAATCGATAATCGATTCCAAATAATTATATTCTTAGCTTGTGTCTTGAGATTTCTCAAATTGTACATAAAATGGTATTTTTACATAATTCTAATTCTGGATATTTTAGATAGAATTTTTTTTGTAATTTAAAAAAAAGTACTACAATTTTTAGGTGTCGAAAAATATTTAGGATTTTAAATGTCCCAAAAACTGACAAATTTTAATTTTATTAAGGTATACCTATCTAAAAATTCGCTCCACATTTCCAATGATTTTTTCTACGAAATTATACGAAATTTAAAGCCAAATTGGAATCCCCACGTTTTGTTTCGGAAAATTATTTTCAAAAACTTTTTAAATTTATATCAAAACTTTTCTTACTTTAGAAAGTTTAACTCCTCAAATGTAAGGATTCTAATAATTGTTTCTAAAATAAAAGTTGGGAAATCTTTAATTATATCTAACAAATAATTGTTTCTCTTCTTCAATACTCTTTCAGGATCAATAAGTTTAAAACATTCAATGGATCCACCTAAAACATTTTTTCGTTTTTATTATTTTACTGCGTTATCGTCACTGGCTGCTATTGTTACTGTTGTGGAGGAACCAGAAAAAAATGTTAGATTCCAGTGCAACCACAAACAGCACTGGCTTCGTGTGTATGACTCTTCAGGAAATGAGCGTATGAGTAAGGTTTTGGTGGTCATGCTAATATTTTTGGGGGGTTTCCGTTGTGTGTACTCTCTGCCATTGAATGGTGGCTGTGTTCGAGAGAGCGAGGCAGAGAGAGTACTTACATATTTGTGAGCGGCATTTTACTCTGATTGAAAACGACATTCATGCAACCAACAGGAAAAATAACATTTTTGCGCTGGTTTCCTACTAGCTCTCACTCTCTACGGCGGTGTGTTGTGATTCACACTCTCTTGCTCTCTGGGTGAGTGTTAGACCATTGTTGTTGCCTCGTGCATATTTCGTTGGTGTCGTGCCAGTCAGCTAAACCGTACAACAAGCAACCAGCAGTAGTCATCTTTTGCTGTGAGTATAACATTCGCATAGAGTTTTTAAACGTCAGACGCGTTTTTTCTTTACAAGTTGTGGGTACTCAATTGCGCTTAATATACACACCAAAAGTAAAAGAAAGAACCATACAGCAACAACAACAAAAAAGAAACAATAAAACACACACACACACCCGTGCATACACATACACACACGCAAGAAGAAAGCAAATTAAACAAAAAAAAATAAAACAACAGCAACAAAAAATATTCCAAACCAAATGTAAAGAAAACGACAGCGGCAACAACGTCGTCTAGAAGAAAACCAAATAAAAAAATATTAATTCCAGTAATTAAACAAAAATAATATACAAAAAATAATTGCAACAACAAAATAGGAAGAAGGAAATCACAAAAAAGAAAATAAAATAATTAATGAAAATAAATTGCTTTTACTTTTTTCTCCATTAGAACCACAACCACAAATTGAAGGGGACATCCCACAAAATAAGTATAAAGATAAAATCAAGAAAAAGAAGAAGAAAACACAAAGAAAATAGTTAGCAAAAAATAAAGAAATATTGCAACGCCGAAGTTTGTGAATAAAATTTAGAAAAAATTCCAATTAAAAAAATAAAATCTATTTTTCTACTACTATCTATTATTTAAATAAAAAAAAAATCTTATAAGAAAATTTTTGGAATTTGTTCATAGAGCAAATAAGCAGTAAATTGAAATAATATGGTGCTTCATTTACAACAACAACAAAGAATAGTTTAAAATATTGTTAACCAGAAAAAGGAAATCTACAAAAAAAGAATTCAACAACAACAAAAAGAAGAAATAGCAAAATAAAGTGAAAGATATCGCCGCCGACGACGCCGTATTCCAGCTCTCACAGCCGCCCCCACACACACAACAACACATTAAAAGTGCAATATGTTTGCAAGGATTTAAAGGAAAGCGGAAATTAAACATTATAGCTTAGCGAAGAAAGAAAGTAAGTTCAGCTGGCATCCGTTGGATACCTATCTTTCGCTTAGTTTTTAATTATTTTACAACCTACGCAAAGCCCAGTGACGATGATGATGATGATGGCGGAGACGTTGACGACAATTATGATGATGATGATGATGTCGACGATAATAATTATGAATGTCTAAGTTCAATTTGCATTTTCCTAATGTCCGGCCAATGTCGGCAACGTCAACATAGACGAATCACCACCCCTCTGCCCGTCTGCCACCCAATCCCGGTGACTCCACATACCAACTTATCTATTTTTAGTTTCCATATGTTTACCAGTTTTTACTTCATCTTGGCCTGGCCTGTCATAGATGGTTTGAATTGGGTGCCACCAGCCACCCGGGTGGCGGGGTGTAAGGAGTTTACTTTTGATTACCACTATTTTTGTGTCTGTGACACTATGAAATTTTACCAGCATTGATTTGATGCCTTGGCAAAAAAATGTACAATATACAATTTTTAAGATAATTCCGCTACGTCTTTGCCCACCACTTCATCGTCATCATCATCACTAACATCGTCGTTGTCTTCTTCTTCTTTTGCGTCGTTGGTGTCTTATGGCTCCCCAAATCCCCCGTTCCTAGTCCAGTCATCAAAATCTACCAACAAAACATACAGACATCAGCAGTCTGCTAACCTACCTACCAACCAACCGAACCAACCAGCCAGCCAGCCAGTCAACCCAACCAAACAGTCAGTCAGCCAGCCAGCCGTACACACATCTATTCAGTTAGCCAATTTTTTTTATTTTTTGTTTTTCGTCTACAATACACGACCAACTTCTCTAGATACACAGAGTTGAAGATTGTGGCTACACTGAACGAAATAATTGTAGGAGCAGGAAAATTTAGGAGATTAAATTAAAATATTTGATAAAATATGAAGGATGTGGATAAGAATAAAATCATAAAAGAGGAATAAGGTTAAGACAGTTTTGTGAGCAAATTTGCATATTGGAAAAGTGCAGCTGCGCTGTTTGCAGGAATGAAGATGTTCATTGAACGGATCAGTTTTATGAGGAACTAATTCTGTTTTTGCTAAATGAAAATAGTTCATTTGTTCAATGTATTCAAAATTTTTAGCTGCTTATTTTGTTTTGATATTTACATAGATTCTGAAGAAATGAAGTGTGGGAATTTTCAATTGGCTATGTTTCAGTTTTGAGGATTCACACATATGATTGTGGTTACACTGAGCGAAATATTGATAGGAACAGAATAATAAGGAGATTTAATTAGAGTTAAAAAAGGGAAAAGGATAAGTATAGAGGCATTACAAAGGAAGGCAGCTGCTTTGTCAACCAGAATGAAGTTGTTTATTAAATATTTTATGTTTGTATGTTCAAGTTCACAAAAGGAACTAGTTGCTTTCGAATTCCTAGTTCCTGTGTTCTATTTAGCAAAAAAGTTTGAACGGGTTTTCAGATGCGTACAAACCATCATGTTTTGTCACTGGGATAATGATGCTGTTCATTAAACGGATCCTTCTCGCATGTTCATTTTCTCAAAAGGAACTAGTTACGTTATGTTGCGTCTATGTTCCATTTAGTCCACCATTTCTCGTGTGAGTTCTATATGCCTAGTTATTTTTACTGGCACCGGTTTTTATATACATATCGGAAAATTGCAGTTGCGATGTCTATAGGAATAATGGTGTTCACTGTAAGGAACTTTCATTCAAGTCCATTCCCTAAGTAGGAACTATTTCTGCTATGAAGTTCCCTTATCACACTTAGTTCACTATTTGTACCAGCTGTGCTGCCTAGAGGAGTAATATTCATTGAACGGCTCCTTCCCTTTTACTTTCATCTCTTCACAAAGATATAGTTCTGCTTTATAGTTCCATTGTTCAATATGTAGTTTACTATTTCTTGTGTGTTTTGGCTGCGTTGCTCCTTTTACAAGACAACTCATTCACACATTGCAGCGGAGCTGTTCACTAGTGTCACGAACAAATAAGAACCATTCAGCGAAAGGAACGATGTGAACTATATACAGTTCCTTTGTCCATTTAGTTCATTAACTTTATTTCGTCTTATCTCATCATTTTAGTTAATTTTACGTTATTGTTTCTGGCAAGACTAACAAGAAAATGTTTGTCTATTAAGAAAGCCATCGAATATACAAGCCCAGTGACGTTGTGTAGATTTTGTGAAATGAACGAACTATGGAAGTAAAAAAAATGGTATACCCAAAATAAACAATTGAACTTGAAGAAACGATAGAGTTGAAATGAACGGTTAAGCTAAATGCAACAGTTCAACTAAAAGGAACTAGATGAACCAACTAGTTCCTCTTCTGATTCCTAGATTACCCAATTCTACGATTCACAGAATGATGATGTTGATTCCAGAAGATGAACTGGTTTCCTTATTTCAATTAGTACATGATTTCCAATGTCTTCCAGCCTGCCAATTGTGGGAAATTTATATTAAAACCTGGTTTTAATAAAATATTAGTTTTAAACAGTTTTAATGATTTTGTTCACTGAATGGACCATCTAGCGTTAATTGTCTCAAGATGAACTAGTACTATTTCGCAAACTTTTTAGCAGCTTTTACTACTGTAGAATTGGACTGTTGGGAATCTAGGTGCACTGAAAAATGCTAAGTATATCATATTTATGTTTTACAAGGAGTATTCACTCGGGGGACATCCTCAGGGTAAAAGGAATACAATCGATTTTTTTTAATATAAACCATAGAAGCAATGTAGTTACGAACGTTTGAACTAGTCCATTTTGGAATACCACAACTCTAAACTCATACATTAAGTATAGTTGCAGGATGGAAAAACTTTTTTGTGAACTGAATTCACGAACTAGTTAAGTAAAAAAAAACCAAACTAAAGCTCTGAAATTTTTCAACGGCAGCGGTTCAGTGCAGAGTTCTGCATTTCACTGAACAACAACTTGGTTCAGACCTTATAGTTAATATGTGGTGAGCATGTGGAGGCTAGTTCAAAAGAATACACCTCACGTTCCTAAATGAATGAAGAGAAAATAATCACTGACTACCTAGAAATTCAAAGAGTAAATAAATACGTAAACCAGTGAGTGATTTTTAAACCACATAAGAATTGAACTAGTTCATTAGGAACAGCAGGTGAGTAAAGAGAGTTCATGGACACCCACTCACAAATAAAGTACTAACCGATTTCGTGAAATAATTTTACGTTTTCAATTTTTCTTTTAACAAAGTTAGCTAGAACTAACAAAATTAAAAAGAGATAGTTCAATTTGTTACTTCACTAAAAAAGATCGAAAAAAAACTGTCTAAATAAAACATGCAGCTCAGTTCGTTCGGGCCGAACTTTTAAACCCCCATCATTTGAATCTTGAATATTTTCAACAAACTCTTAAAATACCGTTTAAATGATAAGCTCTGTGCGGGAGCTATAAGGAGACGCGGACCTGCATAAATAATTTTTTGTCGTAGGCTGTAGAACCCATTATGATATTCAAATACGAAATTTAAAGCAATTTCGGCGAATAATGTCGCAAAAATCAAATATGGGGGGCTATACGAAGACCTGGATATGCATACGAAATTTTTTGTCATAGGCTGTAGTACCCATTACAAACTTCGAAATTTGAAACAATTTGGCTGAATGATGTCGTTAAAATACCGAATATCGGGAGGTACCGTTGTATGGGGGCTATAAGAATTCGTGGGGGGCTATAAGAATGGGCCATATCGTGGACCGATATGGCTCATTTACAAACATAACCTGTCTACTGGGAAAATACACAAGTGTGAAAACTTTCAGCCTTGTATCTCAATATTTTCGAAAGATTGTGCGATTATAACAGGAAGGCGGACATGGCATCTTAGAATTTTACGCTGATCCAGAATATAAATACTTGGTAGGGTCTATCATGAATGTTTTGAGGAGTTACAAACGGAAGACAAAGTTAATATACCCTCCAGAGAGGGGTGGGGGGTATAAAAACATAGAGGTCGAGTTATATAAACACCTTGTGGTCCTTTCCTCGAATATTGAGGCATTGATTACACATAACCCATAAATGACGAATGAAAAGACGAGCAACTGGACTATTGAATGAACTAACTAAGAACTTCAAATTTATATAACTGCAGTTAGACATTTTGTAGGTTACCGATAGAAGATCAATATTTAAAATGAAGATCAAATTCAATAATTTTCAGTGCATTTTGGAATTCGTGGTGCAAAGTCTACAATTTGGTAAAAAAGCTAGATGCCCGTCCGGATATATCCACAAAAATATATGCACCGATTTGAACAAGTGTTTTGGTAAACAATTTGTGATTTTGGGAATGTGAGTTTCTTTTAAATGTTCTTCTTTATATCTATCTAGGCGTGGCACTATTTTGTGGTTTTTCTATTTGTGTTTTTAAGACGAAAATATTGTGAGCCAATGTTAAAACCTTTTGCACGTTTTCACACTTGCACAAACAATTCCACATCACTACAGCGTCAAACACTTGGCTTCAAACAAGAACATCATGTGGTTTGTTTCAATAGTCGCTTGACATTTTAGCCAAAATATTGCGATCTGTTTTGTTGCTGTTGGTTTTGCATCCGCAGTCAAAATTTTACACTTATTTTCAAATGCAAAAAAAATATTTGTGTGTATATCGTATATATGTATGCGTACATATTTATGTATAAATAGAATGAATGCATTTATCATATCTATCATATTTATATCGAACAAAGGGAATCACTTATTGTTGCCACATACGAATCGAACTGATATCAGAAAAAACTCGATTATAAGATAACGGTGATTGTTCACCACCGCCACCACCATTCTCCGGCGTATCTCTTATCGTTTTGGAGGCTATAAAAAAAGAGTTTTGTTTTTCAAATGATGACTAATTTTCGAGGCAGCTTGTATTAGTCGAGGGATATACCCACAATGACTGATATGAGGGTATTTAGTGAAAAAAAAAAAAAAAAAAACAAAAAATAATCAGCGTTATTTGGGAAT